TGAATATAATATACAAGTTTCACTTTTTAAATGGAATTACTGAAATCAATCTACTTTTTCATGATATTCTAATTTTATGACCAGCACCTGTATATATATAGTGAGCTACAGTTAAACTTAACTTAGAATAGAATTGCCATCATTGCTGTTCATTGAAAAGGCAGATTGCTATCCACTTTAACCAGTGGATTGCCTGTTCAAGCCCCAGCTTTATCCGTCTCAGTCAGAATCCTTGGGAAGGACTCTTTACCCACCTTTAGAAATTTTGCTGGTGAAGGGGCAGCTGTCTCTAGAAGTTTACTGTATCAATTTGGGGTCCTCTGTCTTGATGAAGCACTATTCAGTTCTAGGTCACTTACCAACTGTTCATCAAAAGGGATAGTAAATAATCAGAAATGGATGGTTAACATTACAACAACAGACCTGAACTATAGCATCCGCCAAATTCTGGAAAGTCTGTGGTGCAAGCAACGTTGGTGGATGGATCGAGACATGATGTTCCAGATGTGCACAGTCAGATCAGGTTTGGGGAAACAGTCGGGACAGACCATCCCTTCAATGCCTTCATCATGTAGGAACTGCTGATACACTCCAACATTGTCCTGCATTAGGAGAGGTCCAGGGTGACAATACCAGCATATTGTCTCACAAGGAGTCTGAGGATCTCATCTCGATATCTATTGTTGCAGGCAGCAGATCGTTCTCCACACCATGACATGTGCTCAGCATGAACCTGCTTTCATCTGTGAGGAGCACATGGCTCCAGTCAATCAGTGTTGCTTCCTAAGTGGACAGTTTGATTTAGCAGAAGTTGGATTTGATGAAGCGATATTGCATTGTTTAGGTGTTCCCTTTTTTATGAGCAGTATGTATATAATATATATATATATATATATATATATATATATATATATATATATATATATATATATATATATATATATACACACACACATACAAATACATACCCTGGAGCTGTTGCTAAATTACTATAAGCTTCAGCTCAACATAAGCTTAATATTGTTCTGGTAATTTTCATTTTGATGCTAATTACTATGCAGTAGGCTATTGCACACATAAGCAGCAGAGTTTCTTAAACTCTTCGAAACCTTTAATAGAAACTTTGGAGTTATACATCGGCTGCTTTGCTATGCAAAATATCATTACAATGTTAGTCAATAGTGAAAGTATCATTTAGCATTCCATTGTAAGCAAAGTACAGCATTATTAAATGCGCTCTTTGTAATGTTACCACTTGTCTAAAACCAGTGAAAACTGCTGCATCAGTGACTTCCGTTTGAGAGAGCTGTTATTGAAGGAATGCCGCAAGTGCATACAGCCTGGTAGTGGCAAAATTATTCCATGGAGATGCTTTTGTTAATTAAGGAACTGGAAGATATGTTAGAGTTGCTGGAATGATAGTTAGAGCTGCATTCAAAAAGTGAACATGTTGGCTTAAAGTTTACATAAAATATTTGAACTTGTAGCTCTATAAGGCTGGAATAAGTATACACTCTTAAACATTGCATCAAAATGAGGTTTTACATAAAAATGATTCTGAGGGGCTCATGGCACTTTGACATTCTTTGAATAAAAAAGTTTAACCATGCAATCTTTTCTTCAAATCCCTAGTGTGCACTCATTTGAAGTCAACCATGAGAAAGTTTTTACACAAACTACATGGCTGGTTGCAGAACAAAGAAGTTATAAGATTATATATGCATTCTTGATATCCAGAAATATTTTTAACCAACTCCACTTACATAGGTTGTCCCACAAATGTTAAGACAGGAAGCTATGATTGGTTTGCAAGCCTTTTCAATCAGTCTACCAAAATTCTGTTTAAGGAACTGTGACTGCAGACAGTAGTTTCATCATTGTTTAATATAAAAGAGAATTTTCTGATTCAAATAAAAAAGTAAAGTACATCCCAAAATGTCATATGACTTTTATTCTGTACTACTTCAAGCTTCAATAATCCACTTTATTATATTGGTTCTCTGACCTTGCTGCTAAACTAAATCAAAGTCGGTCAAAACGTCTCAGCCTAAACAATAAAGCGAGGCCCATTTTATAAAACTGCAATGAAGTCAGACTGCAGTCCCACACACACATGTCACCCTCTAGCATTAAGAAGTCTTGAGAACAAAAAGAAAAGAACATGCAGATTCTTAGTCACCTTTGATTTATTCTGCTTGTCGCTTAAAATATTACATTATCCATTCTTTGCCTTTTTTTAAATGACAGAACCCTTTGTGTCCCTGAAATTCAACAGCCCCCAAAATCCATTTCACCTTTTAAATACCTCTTTCATTGTCTGAGAACTCCCTCTATAACGAGCACAATAGGTTTATCTGTTAAATTCACAATGGCCCAAATTCCTTTCGCAATTATGTGCCAAAATATAATTACTGTGGACTAAGCATGCAGCAAATAAGCCATGAAGGGATGTAACCTGGATTATTACCATAATAAAGAAAATCATCCACTGGTAACAGTGACAGTTAATCAAGTTAGACCATTTCCTGGAACCTTTCCTCAAATGAGTTACTGGAACAAAAATATTCTAATGTGGCACAAATGAACTTCTGACATTTATATCTTATTCTCTTGCAAACCGTTGTTGCAGCAGACATTCCTGAAATGTCTATGCAGATGATCTATCCATTGAGTTACCGTACGTAGGAACAGTCATGCAGACCTTGCAGTGAGTTGATCTTCAGTTGAAGCGTGTAAACTGTTACCCCAACAGTTAAAGATACAGTGTGTGAGTCACTCAGCACATTGGACAGATGAATGTGAGTTTAATATGATGTCCTTCGGTCAAGGACAAAAATGGCTCACATCCTATACCTACATGGTTTAATAAAACATATCTATGGTATATTGTTTAACACATTGTTTAACCCCCTTTTAAATCATGAATGTGTGCTTTAAGCAATACCAATGATATTGAGTGAACTTGACAGATAAGCCTAGTTTGAAACAGGTATTCCAAAGAACAATAAAAAAAAAAAGCATCTACACTTCTGAAGCAACTTTGCATTGTACTTTACTCCCATTCCATCATTGGAGGGTCTTAGGTGATCTCAGGTAAAGGTGTTCTTTCAAAAACAAATGATCCTGGGCTGATTTATGCTTCAGCGGTGGTTGGAAAAACTCTCACATACAGAGTTTTGGCGTTGAGAGATTTTACAGATGTTTCAGGAGGCAGTTCTGAAAAAAAAAAAAAAAAACATAAAATAAACTGTTAGTTCTTTTTTTTTTTTTTTCTACTGTTCAGCAATAAGAAGGTATTTCACTTTAAACAAGTTGTATCTTTTAAACCCTTTTTGAAAACAGTCTAAATCTGGTCAGACCAGAAGAAAGCAAAAATCAAGCCCTTTAATATTTGATAACAAAATTAACCAATGAAGAAAATAATATTAAAAAAAAAAACCTTAGGTCACACTGTTGATATGGAACCAACAGCAGCATAGATTAATAATTTGAATGCAATAACTGTCGGCTTTCTTCAAGTGTCATGAATTCACACTTTGTTTGCCAATGTAACATTCAGCCTGCTGGATGGTGCCTCTGCAGCAGAGGCCTGCTGCTAACCCAGGCAAGAAACTGAAGGTGGCACCAAGTGACAGAGGGGAGGAAAACTGACAATGACATCACAATATGTACCCATAAAATCACATTAATGAGATTTCCTTGTATTGAGCAGCTTATATCACTGAAACCACTAGTTTGAACGATTAGGCAATTCATAAAAGGTGCTTGAATTCGATTTGTACAAACTAAAATCTGCAGCACCACATTTAAAGTTTTACATACATTTACTAAACCTTATTATTTCAGGAGATTTTGGAACTAGAACAGAGTTTAATCTTTGGTACAGCTGATGTAACACAGCAGTTCACTGTGTACTTATAATAGTGACTACAACTGGAAAGACCTGATAGTGATGTCCTTCAACCACTAGTCCTGATTTCCATGGTCCCATGTTGCTGCTGGTCTTATTTTAGCTAATCTTACTATGGAAGCTCTAGATCAGAAATAAAAATGTTGTAGCCTTAATTAATGTTGCACACAAAAGCAACTTGCGAGATGTTGTGTTCCTCTACCTATAATTAATATGTATATTCTAGATATATTTATATTCTAGATAGGGATGCTTGCTGTGTACATCACTAGATCACGCTGTTATAGTCACTTTTAGATGTTTTTTAATTCGTCTCACTGAAATAGTTACGTTTTAGCATTGTTTGGTATTATACATTCTGTACAAACACAGTAAAACAAGCAGTGCCCATGAATCCTTATTGAGCATTCACAGCAAAAATAGCTGTGTCCCAATTCAGCGGCTGCCTCCTTCAAAGGCTGCATTTCTAGGCTGATTACATCACAGCAAGGTGAGGCAGTACTAATGTTAAAGGCTTCTAATGTAACCAACAAATTCATCCTCTTTTTTCCTGGACCTGAAACATGGCTCTGATGAGTCTAATATGGCCAACATAACCCATGATTCATAGCGGGTTGAGAAGCTGGAAATGGTAGAGAAGAACGGCAAAGTTTTAAATAGTATACTTCCTGTGACACAAAATGTAATTTTTAACTGTGAGAGAAAAAAGCTCAGATATTTGCTCGGTTTATAGAAAATAAAATCCCTTTATTGTCCCACAATGGGGACATTATCAAGATTTCACTTTATCACTAAAGTGCTCCACCATTTTCAGGGATGTTAATTCTAACTGCTAGCGTAGAAGTTAAACACAGATATAGTTTAGTCATATGATATCCGATGTTTAGCATATGATTAATTTTCTCAATGCTGAGATTAAAGTTAAGCCTTTTAACAAGACAGTTTAATTTAACTATTGCCGTACAGATGACCTGGAGACTATACTTGAAAATGAAATGCATGTTTCTTTAACACATGCCAGGGATGACTGTACAACTGCTGGAGTTCCTTCAAGGATTAAAAAAGACAAAAGTTTCTTGTCAATTTTTACGGCTTCTCGGCTCTGTGCTTAGGTTGTTACGGTCGCTAGGCGATCAGCTGGTGAAGTTTAGTCCTTCCTAATCCACAGCAGATTTGTCCAGGCCATTACAGCGTGAAATGAACCAGCCTACATAGACTAAGCGTTTAAAAGCATGTAGCCTCTGAATGCAGCTAAAAAAATGACACTGTTAGCTTTAAGCCCATTTAACCAAAAAACTGACACCCTAGAAAAGCAAGTAGGTTGACTGCAGTAGCTCATTTCAAATCTAATTTGTATTCGGAATTCTTATCACCCCCTCTAAGCTATCTTCTCACAGAGAAAGACTTTTTTTTATGGTTTTATGGTTATCAACCATTTTGTTTTGAACCAACCATTAGTAAGATCCTGGTCCAGGTAGAGTTTGAGGCGCCTGCTGCGGAGACCAAACACCTTGGCAGCTTCAGAGAGCAGGCCGGAGTGGTCGAGCTCATTCTGGCCAACTGGATTCACCAGAAGGAGGGTGCCAACATCTCCAGCCTGGCATTCTGAAACACAGAGAGAGAAATGAGAATAATAAAGAATGGGATTTTAACAAATAATCAGTTTGTAAAATGAGAGAAAAGGCAAAGGGGCTGGATCTGCAGCCAGAAAGAACAACTTTTATTTTTACATTCAATTTTAAATTAAATTACATTTTTGTTTTACATTTAGATTTTATTTTATCGGAAATGAAGGTAAGTGGTCAAATTTTTTATATCACAGTTTATCAAATGTGTTAGAAACTAAAATATAAATAACATGATTTGGTTAATCATCCGATTTAACAAGTAAAATAAAAATACAAATGCCTAAGCTGTACTTTACTTTGGCAGAAACTTGTAAAGAACAATACAGGGATACAAATATATTTTAAAACTAGTTCTCTCCCAGATATCGAAGATAAGATTCAGTGCCAGTGAAAAAACTTTTTTGAAATATAATTTTAAAGTTTGCATTCATATATAATATAAATGTGGCACCATTGATAAAACATCTCGACCCTTGCCAAAGCTTCCAAAAGAATAATGCACATAAAGTGTCTGAGTCACTGTGAAATCAGGAATAAATTATCAGCTCTTATTCCCTGATAAGTTATGTGAAAAAAATAAAATAATAAAACCTTAAATGGTTTCTGATTATAATAACACATTAAACAAATAGCCAAACATATCTGTTGATTATAATTACAAAACATATGCCTTATTCATCAACAAAACCCAACAGGTTAATGTTTCTCACCAGCCGGCTGTGCGTTGCACAGTAACAGGTTTACATAGGGACACAGCAGGGTGTCGGTGGTGGGCACAGCGCCAGGAGGGGAGGGGCCTGAAGTCACCAACAAAGTTTTACCACTGTGGGCCTGCAGGTCCACTTTGTTTGTCAATTCTGCAAGAAACACAGAGAAGAAAATATAAGCCATCATCAGAACACATACATTTCCCAGCGGGATAGCATTTAGAGTGGAAAAGACTAATGGAGTCACAGAATTAATAGCCATTCCTATTTGTTTACATATCCTGTAAACCTATGTAGGTGGCAGAGGTGGATAATTATTAAACTTATTAATAAAATCTACAGGCAGCAGAGTATATAGTTGATCAGGAATAGTTGTATTAACTTATACATGGCCTCAAAAGGTATCCATACCTGTTGAAATTATTCACATTTTAGCACATTATGACCACAAACTTCTGTGTTGTGTTTTTGTTTTTTGCGGTATGTGATAAATTGAGTCTCGGTAGGTCTAAAGTCTGGTTAAACAGTTCGAACTCGGTCTGGGGATGCAGTCAGAGTAACTGGCAGTGTTAATTTTTGTGTTGTACACGCAAGTTATTAAGCTAAATAAATCAGACTTGACCATGTTATTTCATGTATTTCCTGTGTTCCCTTTATGTTATGTAGAATGCTGCCAACTGGACTGTCTTTCAGCAACATCTCTGTTAAAAGACACATTTAGGTAGAACCTATAATAAGACTAAATGGAACTGAATACAAACACATGGAACACTTTCATTAAAGAAAAATTCTTAAAGTAATGCAACATTTCCCTTCCTCTTCACAAGTGGAAACTTTTTAGGTTGTCAATTTCATAAAATCCTATCAAACGTGAAACTGGCATACCAAAATAATAGACGTGTTTGAGTGAAACATTTCTCACCATTTCGATCACTGAAGAACCTGAGCTGGGTGTTATTGATTCCAAAGATGCTGCTGCACACTTTCCTCAGTTTGTCCAAGTCTAGTCTGTTGTCCCCTTTGGGATTCTCTAGCAACACTACGCCCTCTGAAGAACAAAAAGCAAAGCCAGACAGGATTATCAAACATAAGAACTTCCCTGAAAGGCTGCTGAAAATAAAAAGGATGTTAAAGACTCAAGCTTAATGTGAAGGATGTTTAGACTTATCAGCCGTTTTGTCTTATGGTACCCTGTTCTTTGTTGTTGACTTTTACTCGCAGGTTAACGTAGGAGCAAGCTGGTCCGTTTGGTGGCGCTTTAAGAAGTGAAGATCCTTTCACTATTGTTAACGCCAAGTCTGACCCCTTCAGCTGCAAAATAAAATATATTAAGGCAATAAAGTGAATAAGAATTCTTTGCTGAGACAAACATACAGTAAATATTGAAAGATTTGCAGCATAAGGATAAATTGGAAAGGTTTTATCTGTACAAGATTTGCACACCATTCTCGTTAGACATCAGTATTAAGCATGAAAGTGTTGCTCATATTTAACCTTTGTGTTATATTACTGGTGCACCAATTAAACAGTTGGTGTGCAAAATTGATCAATATTCTGTTCTGACTAACAAGTGAAACACTTCAAGCACATTTCATTTACTATAGAGGTGAATACCCAATCTGGTTTCAGACCCTTACTGCTTAACAGTTCGGATGCAAAAATAATTTAAATGAATTCACTTTCAAATTCTATAAAGTGAAAATAAAACTAATATCTAAAATGTTGCTGCCTGTTCTGTAGTTTTCTAATTCAAAATAGAGTAAATCAAATGCAAAGATTCAGATGACCAGAGAAGCCTTTGGAAGCTAGAGATGCACCGATCCGATATCTGAAATGGATATCAGCTCTGATATTGACTAATTAGCTTAATCAGATGTCAGAGATCCAATCAAGTGCACTTTACATGGAACTGTTATTTCTTTACTTTGCTACCTTTTTTAAAATGTTTATGTTAAAGCTAAAGCCTTCACTCCCATGGCAAGATATATGGTTCATCCATTCATTAGTCGAATCGAATGGGTATTGTACATCGGTCTAAATGCTCAGACCAGGTATCGGACTGGAAAAACTGGATCGGTGAATCTCTAACAGTCACTTAAATATTTTAAAAGGAAAGTTTAAACATGTTTGTAGCAAATGCCCTGCTTATAGTATTAAGCCAATACCTGAGTATTTTCCTCAATGATGATGCTGGCAGTTTTTGGGACAGGGAAGGGCAGAAGGGGAGCCTTGGTGGTAGCTAGAATGAAGTCAGTGTGAGCCTCAATCACAGATGCCAAGTACTCCCCCTTTGGCTGGCAGTGGTAGTACACAGTTATCTCATCGGATGGCACCAAATGCGCCTAATGCAGAACAATGAGGAAAATCACAACGATTTAAGGTGGGGAATATTAAAAAACAAATAAAACAAACAAAACAAGGCATTAGTTTAGTGTTTTGAAGTCAAAGGTTGCTGTTTTGTTACCACTAAGCTCAGAAACAAGAGGTAAGATGATCATAAGCTCATACGTATGCTAAAAACACTGCCTGACCTGCCCTTTGATTAGGTGCACCAAAAACACATCATTTTTCATGCAGGAAACAATTGTCTAAAAGGAAAGGAGGGTAAACTAAATGGACATCATACAAGATAAATAAATAAAGCTTCGGGAATATAAAGGAGAAAACACTGCAGGAACAAATGGAGAGAGAAAGGAACAAACTGACATTTTTTTTATTCTTGGAAGGAAGCCTCTCTGCTTTGGCATCGCCTGCTGCTGGCTCCCACTAACCTTGACATATTCAAACACATTGATCTTGTTCTAGTCTGCAGGATGCAGTTGTGCACATCTGAGCATCAGCATAGACACAGACTGACCACAGCATATGCAAACACTTGGAAACACCACAGCTGCAGATGCAGCTCAAGGGCAGAAGAAGCTGGAAACAAAGGTGCAGTAAGTCTGTGGAGAAAAGTTTTACATGCTTCCTTTGGAGAAGCTCCACATTCTGACTTACTTTGTAAGGTGAACGGGTGTGTGTTTGTCAGATCAAGTAAACACTGACTCCTGTTTCACAACTCAAACACACCAACAAACTACAACATGTACCTGAATCGCTAAAAATTAATTCCTGTTAACAGGGTGGAAAATTCCTGACAGCTCTCCATTTGAAATAACTGGAGGAATTTCGCCTGGCTAAGAGCCAGTGTACAACACTGCTATAGGTGGACGGAAAAAACTGCTCGTTTCTTGTGAAAATGCAGCTCTGTTGGCTAATCCGTCTTTACTCTCCACACCACTTCAAAAAGCCCCAGTGTCAGAATCTGAAAGGAGCCAGACTGTAATTAAGCTTCTATTAAGCCTGCCTTATGATGGAGAAACCTCTAACTGTGACGCTGTAGTGGAAAGATTTCCAAACTGCTCTGACAATAGAGTGGGACAAACAGAAGAGGGGAGGGCTGACTAAAGGTGGGGAAATAAAGAAAAATTCAGATCAACGTTTCAGTGATGTTATTATTGTGGAACTGAAGGAGAAAGTATTTAATAAAATGAATGAATAAGAAAAATATTTACTAAGCCTGAGGAACCCCTAAATTAAAACAGTCACAGTCAATATGACACCCACAGTAGCACCAGCTTTTACACACTGGGTTGTAGAATTCAGTAGTAGTTCGTTATGTGTCAGTGCAATTGGAGGAGCTGGTGGTGCTCCTGGAATAAATGTCCCACCTTCTTGCGTAGTTTCTGAATGCGGTTGATGACCTCTCTAGCAACACCCTCATCCACCATGGACTGGTCTGGGGTCACGTCCAACAGCACAAGGACCTGAAAGGCAGGCAGAAAGAGCAAAAATGGTCAAATCAAAAACCTAAAGACAAACCAATCTATGGCAGAGAGCTACTGGATTATGAAGTGCTGCACAGCTGGATTTTGTAAGAAACTTCAATCTAAGTCAGTAACTATCAAATGTATCTTAATGAATATAATCTGCAACGATATGAATCATTTTCAACTGCCATGGCAACGACATTTTACAATAAAAGTTGAATTTGATAACTTTAATGAATATTCCTAGAAAGCACCTAAAAATGTACTGATTAGCATCAATTTACAGACACAGGAGTACGACCAGGCCGGTCCTTACAGCAGGTTTGATTTGATGCATTGTGTTTGGAGCAGATCTGGCTGCATAAGGATTTCAAAGGTTAGTGACACTATGGTTAAAACCTGTGGAAATCTTCTGCTGTCACTTCTGCCATGGAGCACTATTATTATTTTATTATAAGTGGTTTCAATTGTTTGAGAATGCTGCTTATGCAGCAAACTAAAGCTTTTTATCATATCCATCAGCCCAGTGGACATTACTTCCCTCTAGTTATGAGGATGAGCAAATACGAAATATTAGCATGATTTGCAGTCTTAATTTTTCTTCACCTCCAGAAAACAAAGTGCTTAAAATGCACATAACATTGTTTCACTCATTACATAAAATGAATGCGCATTCTCACAGGAAAATATCACCCCATGCCCCCAAATTAATTATCTTAAGGCTGCTATATACTTCACAAGAACCGAGGCACATTTTTTGTTAATAAGGCTGCAAAAGCGATTAAGTTTGTTTTGCCTCAAAGTGTTCATACTTCACGAGAAACTTGGCTGCCAATGTCCGCCCTTCTATAGTGCACATCCCTGAACAGTAAGCGAGCCATGCAAGGCAGGCAGCCAGCTGAATGTAAAGGAGCAGGCAGAAATAAGAAAATAAGCTCACTGTGTACTCTGGTACTACTTGGGAAGACTGCAAGACATCAGGGTGTGACTGTCCCACTAGGAGAGCTTATAGAGGAACCACAGCAAGTTGTCTTTTCCACCACTTAAGCCACCAAAACTGAACTGCACAGCACTTTCCATTTCCTAATTTTCAGCAGGCCCCCTGTGGGTTTGCTGGCATGCTTTGATATTTTTCATTTAAATGGTTCCACATTTTTATTTAAGCATCCTTGGATAACAACAGCTTCATACAAAGCAATCCCATACCATCACACTTCCACCTCCATGCTTCGCACCTTTTCCTGGAATGCTGCCGTCATCTGTTCTCGATTCTTAGCAACTCTTCTAGACTTATTCTGCCCAGAGAACATTTTTAAGTCCTGTTTTTCGGCTAACTTTAGGCCAGTCTGCATGGTTTACACCCCATTAAAGTTAAACTAGTAGAGCCTTTTCTGATTGTGCAGGCTTGCTTTTTCAGATTAGACAGAAGCAAATGGCTGCTCCTCGCTTAAGGACCTGTAGCAGGCATTGTTTTAACATCCAGTATTGTGTTTTTGGGCTGAGACTGCACAACCAAAACTAGACATGCCGGCTGTTGTTCTTTGTGCCCACCACTTGTAAAATATTTTCTAGAGTAAAAAATATTTCAGATTTAAGTCTTCTTTGAAACCCTTCCCATACCAACGAACTGCAAACATCTGGTTTCTAAAAAACTTTAGATTATATTTTTCAGACGTTACCACAGTATTCCCTGTCAAAATGCTGAGTAATGATGTTCATCTATAGACCTACCTTCACTAATATATAAAACAATCTAATTTTAAAGTAAATTCTTGTTTTACATCATCTTAGATAACAGCATAACATTGAATCGTATTCTGTAGTATTTGGCAAATAAAAACTTTGAGCCTTTAAAATATCAGACTCTGATCTGTGTATTAAAACACATTGTATTGCTCATAAAACAGGGATACAAAGACTAACTGCTAGAGCATCATTTACATGAAAACATTTTCTGAATAATAATAAATGCTTCAGTATAAGATATCTAGATAAATGTGGCATCAACTGCATAAGTTGGAATCTGTATTTTTCTCCAAATCATTCAAAGATGGATGAAGGGATAAGGTTTTATTTGCAGTTTCTTTTTTAAACAGGTCTTTGTCAAAACCTTTGACACAAAACCTACTGAACTGACCTTTGACACCTACTGTAATTGTTCCAAATTTTTCCGTCACTAAAACAACAAACTGGTGCAGAGGTGGAATTAAAATTTCCGTTTAATTTGATCAATAACAAAACTGAAGGATAAACCATTTTCCACAGAAAGGTGGAGGTAAAAACATTCATTTAATATAAAAAGGAAAAAAATATTCACCTTCTGATTTGAGTTTATTTTAGTAACAGAACCCTGGGCTCCTTTTTATTCAGTAGCTGAAAGGTTTTCATGTCAAAAGGTTAGAATAGACACAAGAAGAAAGCTTCTGAGCAAAACATTTTCCGTGTTGCTCATTTATAATTTGAAAAGTAATTTGAAGAAAAGAAAGGAAATGTAAGACCAGTCATGCTAACTGCGTATGATAGGCAGTAGGGGTGGGTATTGCCAAAGAAGTCACGATTCGATTCGAATCACGATTCACAGGCCACGATGCGATTCTATCACGATGCATCACGATACTTGAATTATTGCGATGCATTGCAATATTTTCTCCTCCATGTTTTGTTTTTGTATGACTCGGCACAGAATCCCGCGGCCGGAAATGCTTGAAAGATGGAGCTAGATCAT